ATCGGTGATAGAAAGGCTTAAATTGGATTTATTTAATAAAATTATATTATTATATATTTATTTGATTTGAAATCTAAAATAAACAAAAAAGCTTTAACTAAGTTAGTAACTGGATTTTAAAGTATGATTACAAGCTTGTTAGGCCATGGACATTAGCGCTTGAAAGCCAAATAAAAGCGAATCAAAAATATATAAAACTAAATCACATTTTGTTGAAAATTTGTTTGGAATTTTCTGCAGGGTATCTAAACAAATAAACAAAGTGAATCATTTAACTAAAACAGAGAGAGAGAGACAGCCTCCAGCCCCGGCGGAAATAGTTGTATGCAGTTTTAAATTTTGCGCCCGCGGAGACAGACCGCCACCCAACTAGGGGCAGGGTGAGGGCAGAGAAGGTAGCTTGAGGCCAGAGCGGGATCAGGCAGGTGGGGGCCAGGTGTGGAGCGGTATTCACCTCGGATGACTCGAGGCCATGGCGCTGGGCTGCGTTAAATGAAGACCACAAAATGCAGCGCCGCGGAGCTCTAATTAAGTTAAACCCAGACACTGGCAAACAGATGCCACTACACACAGTCGTGCATGACTGTGTGTATGTACGTGCTGGTGGCTCAATAATTAACTAACTGGCAATATGCAGCGAGACTTAAAACAACCATACATACCCACACACCACCCCCCAACACAACCAGCAGCTTGAAATCCCAGCTAGAAACTCCAATTTTGCTTACTGACAAGGACTTCAAATGGCATTGCACTTGAACTATTTCTGCCTGGGCTCTGGTTTTTTCCCCCTTATTTTTGAATTCCCAGATTGCAGATTGTTTGCATCTCTGTGTGGCCCAGCAATTTGCTGGTGGGCAAGAAAATTGAATTAAATTTAAACAATTTCATTTTATTCCAGAGTGTCCGAATGCAAGTTTCTCATTCGAAACAAAACTTCAAACAGTGTGAACCGAGTCATGTCCTGTCTGGGCATCTAGCAGCTACTGCCTGGTACTTTTAATTGCCAGTTGGTCGAATCGTGTTTGGTCTTTAAGGCCCGAAGTGGCTGACAAGCATTTTGTGCCGAAATACTAGTACACGCAGTATGAAAAATGGCTTTAATTAAATCATAGGCTGAGCATAACTTTATGCATTCTAAAAGTAACTATTTTTCCAAAATTAGAGATACAACTATTGAAATATTTTGTATATTTGGTATAATGAAAGTATCCTGAAACGGCAATGCCTTTTAGATTTATGAGTGAAAAGTTAACAGGCTAAAAATATTCAAGGACCCGATTATTTTAGGCTCCATTGATAGAGTGTATTCAACTCATTTTATGTTTTGCAAATATTTGAAATCTATTCAGAGTTTCGCTCTGTGGCATCTGCATAATACCCGTGTATTAGTGGATTTCGAGCCATAAAAACTCATCGAAACGTGTGCGGGCATAAAAAAGGACTTTGCCACAATATGACAATCCATTGAATGACCATGGATCTGCCTCATATCACAAACAATAAACAGCCACAAACGCCAACAACAATGGCACATAAAAATGCAACAAAAAAGGTCCAAAAAAAGGGAAACTAAAACAATGGACGGGCTTTCGGAAAGAGTTGGCCAAAAAATATAAATCGCCTGCCAGCTAAGCAAAATGTCAGAGCCATAAATATCATAAAAAATATATTATCAAGCTACCATGATTTCAAAATTGGAAGGATCTTTTATCTATGTGTGTGTGAGTGCCTGTGTACGCAATAAATATGTGTGTATGTATATAGTTGTTGTTTTCTAAACTCTCTACAGGACTCTCTAGAGTGCTGGTTACAAATTGTGTGTTAAAAGGCACTCGAAAGAACTGCAGGCGGGCCAAAATATTTTAATACAAGCAATAAAATTAGAACAAAATACGCACTAAAGCTAAATTGAAAAGAAAATCGTTATGGTTGACACAAACTGATGCCCATAACGAAATAAAAACCCGTCAGCAAGGATAGTTGAAGGGATGTGGGATATGAAATACTCATGGCAGTGCCCGAAACCAAAACGATTTGAACGCGTTAAGCAAAACGCGTTTTAGTGGCGGCACCAACATACACACCCATACACAACCAGATACACTCACTCACACATATGCAATCAGGACGACGGGAAAACTCCGGCAAAAACACATTTTATATGCTTGTTGTTGGCTTGCTAACTTTGGAACAATTTTCGTATTTTTTATGCGAGGTTTTCTCCCGCTGCTTTTTCTCTACCACTTTTTTTTATATTTTTTTCTTTTTTTTAATATTTTTTCGTTAGGGGAGAAAACTTCTTGGGTTTCCAATAATTTGTTGTAGCGAACTTGTTTTGCATGTGTGTGCTCTGGTGCGAGTGTGTGGGTCGGTTCTTGTGGGTAAGGGGGTGTTCTTGTTAGCCGCTCCACATATATCAAGCAGCAGCAAAAACGAGGCGGGGAAAGAAAACTCTAACAATACAGCGGAACACAACACAACACAACACACAACAACAACAAAATATAGAAAAAATCCTAAGCAGCAGCAGTAGCAGTTTGTAAAATATATTTTTATTGCTATTGCGCAAACACACGCTCGCACGCAGGACATACACAGGACCAGGACCAGATCCAGGACCAGGAGAAGGACTCCTTTCGCTGGTCGCCGTTTTGCCATTGACTTCTTCTCGCTATTAAAGCACTGGGAAAGCAGCGTAGCTGGCAGCATGCTTTTTGTCGTATTTCACCAGGCACGGGGCAAGAAGCAGCATCAGCAACAGCAGGATCAGGACACGCATGTTGCGTACGAGGATGCGAACACTTCATAAAAAACACTTTCATTACAACTACAATACAATGGCCAGGGGTTGCGAATAATATGCGGTAACCATGGAGTGAATTATCCTCTATAAATAGTTTCTAAAAATAGAAGAAACAAACAAACAATGTAACTTTAATATTTTACTTTTCCAAAATAATCTTTAGAATATGTATAAACAAAAGGAGTTTTTAATTTTATTAAATAATATACTTTGTTTTTTGAGAATATAATGGCGAAAAACAAATGTAAGATATAGGTATGCTCTTAAATGTAGATGTAAATAATATACCTACATATTTTAATATTTTTTTTTTAATACAATTTTTATAAAATATTTTGGACTATAGTTCTTATATTCTGGGATGCCCATAGTGCGTCATCTGTTTGGGTTCGGAACGGAGGATTGGAGCGGACTACTTACTACTACGGTTGGCATTATTTCATGTGCAAAAGTCGCTGCGTGTTGTGTTTGCTATTAAAAATGTCAGCCACCGAGTGTGCTTGTTGTTGTTTTTGTTGTTGCAGCTGTAAAATGGACACTAACACACACTCCCAGACCCACACACACACACACACGTAGAAACAGAAACATGGAGGAGCAGAACACGCTTTTAACACCGAAATGAACTTGTACGCCATGTTTATGAGCTGATAAAAAACAGTTGACCAACATTTGTGGAACTGGAAATTGACTTTAACGTAGAGAGCAAGTAAATTAAGGATCCCTTTGCCTCATAGGGGGAAAGCAATGAAATTTCTTAGTTTCGGGGCAGGGTCTTCCCAAGGGACTCTCACCTATTGGCCTAGTTTAACAGTTGGCAGTTAACATTGCCTTTCCCAGCCATAAAAAGCTCAGCAATGCGTCTGATATTTTTGGTCCACATTTCGTCCTTGTTGTTCTCTTAGTAAAGAGAACAATGCTGTTGTTCGCCAAAGAGTGTAGAATGTTATTTACAGATTTCTATGCAAAAAAAGTAATACGTGTTAACCGGGTTAATAAATTGTTTATTGACCTATTTAAGGGTGTGCAGGAACTTGTATTTTTTAAGAAAATATTAGAGGACTTGAACATATTAATTTTTTTTACCGATTTATTATTTATAAAACTTGTGCAGCAAGGCTGTTTTTTAAGAGAAGGCTTAAGTTTACCTGAATTGATTGATTTGGTAACAGTTAGAGCAACAGGTTGATTTGATCGATGCCGATTCGAAGCTACCTATAATGATTTAAATAAAAGCAAGACTATTATGAAATGAATTAACTAAAGCTTAATTTTAATATCTTGAAGTATTTTACTTTAATTATTTTTAATTTTGTAACTCAAAGTACAAAGTCATTTGGATTACATTTAAATTTCTTGGAAAAACTCAGGAATAAATTATCGCTTAAAAGAAACATTGCATTGATTTGCTCAAAAAATGATAATAAAACAATTGTAAAAAACAATTTAAACCTTTGATAATCCCATGTAAAATTTAGCACAAGTATCAGCTGATTTTTAGCACAAGTTGCGCCAGAGACATGGAGCAAATTCCGAGAGAAATCCCGAGAAAGCCGAGAGAAAACCCGAGCCAGGGAAATACCGCAGGCTAATTTCAAATGTAAACAAGACTACCCTTGCCATAATCTTACTAAAAAATTAAAATTTTTATAATACATTATATTAAAAATAATTTTTAAAAATCAAAAAAACATTAACTTTAGAAGCAAATTTGTATCTTGTATAAAACGTTTAGAAAGTCCTGGCAGGAAGTCCCCCAAAAGCGTGCTATAAATTTTAGAAACGCCACATAACAGAGCTCTGTTAACAGCATCAATGGATGCTTCGGGAGCGATTTCCGTTCGGTTTTTGTCGCACCGCTCGGCTCGGATGCTGTACGAGGTGATTCGTGATTTTGTCCCAGCTTCTCGGTTCCAGCGTGTGTACCATAAAAATCGTTTCAGTGAGAGTTTGCGATCCCGCGGGTACGGTCGGAACTAACGGGACTTTAACGACGTAACGTCGCGTGCTGTGCTAGCGGTTTTTTCCGGCAAGCAAGCCATGCTAAGCCATCATCATTAAAATCCCCGGAAAATCGAATCGGTTGATCCCCTTCAGAATTAGATTTCGAATTCTAAATCAGTATCTGAATCTGTATCTATATATCTGTGCCAAAATCATATAATAATCACCAGAAATGTGACAAAAAAAAAAGAAAAACAAAAATGCAGAACCTAAAGGCAATTTGTTAAACTGAAATCATTGAGAGGAAACTGTGGCGTTTCCAGTGCGGTTATTGTCGCGTTTGTGTCGCGTTCAGCTAAATCTCTTAAACTTGTTCGCAATGTAAGCAGCTGCCAATTGTTGTTTCAGTTCTACTTGTTGTTGTATTTTGTTGATGGTGTGACAAGCAATTTGTAGTTGTTGCTAACTCTGGAATAGCGAATCAACGTTCGCCCATTCAAGATCTGACTTTGATCCGACTGCAGTTGCCCCCCCAACCACGCTAAACTGAACTGAACTGAACGCTGTTTTCAATGAAAATCATTTCCACGGAAAGCAGAAAAGCATTGAAAAGCGCACGACCCCCGAGCGGAATCGAGCGCCGTTCCCGTTTGGATTATTTTTGCTAGTTTATTGGGTCTGCGTCTATATCTTTTTCTATCTGTATGGGTGTAGAAGTGGGTGTGTTTGTGTTTGTGTGTGGGTTAGTGTTTGAGAGTTTAGTAAGTGTGTGTTCGTACTATGTATTCGGGCCGGCAGATAAAACGATTTCTCTGCTCAGCTGGTCGTTTCATCGCTTTTTGTCGGTTTTCTTTCATTTGCTTGCTGAAATCGTTATTTTTTGCTTTTTTTTACTGCCAGATCTGCCAGCAGCTCGTACAAATTGCACCAAATTGTTATGGCTGAGCATTTTAGTTATTTATATGGAATTTAAGTAGTTTTTATATCTTTTTATTTTTGTAATGCATTTGTGGACATTGTTGGAGCTTTTTTTTTTTAGTGGCACTGCAAAGGCCATCATATTTCATGACATTCCCAGAGACACAAGTGCAAAATTGCTGGCCTTTGACGCCCATTGAGGCAATGGAACAAAGAGCCAGCGAAATAAGAGCCATAAACTAATAGATAAACATAATCGCCACTATACCACTCAGCCACGAAGGTATATTTGTTTAAATTGCTAAATTGCTGAAGTGTGCGTGTAATTTCATTACACGGTTGAATGCCACTTGTGCAAATGCTGAGGCCTTTGATGCCACCACACAAATTGTACGAGTGTGCACGATAAGCGACCTGGGAAAAGCATTGATGAACTTTATGACTGATTAAGATGAGAGCGATATGATGAACAGACATCCGTATTACAAGGTGCGAACTCAAAATCATTAGATTTCGCCACCAGCTTCCATCAAACTGATTGACTGTAAAATTAAATCAAATCAAGAGACATAAAAGTACCTTTAATGGGATTTAAGTTACTTCGTTTTATTATGTGGTATTTATAGCTAAATAATCCAAGCCCCCAAGAGTTGCAATTTCTATAGAATATTATTTTTGGGTTTATCTAGAAACTCAATACATATTGTGCCCATTTATATTCCGAAACTAAATGCCTTTAATTACGAATTCTGACACAGTTTTCAACAATTGCGGCGGAGAACAATGAACAGCGAACATACGTTTTCGGGGAAAACAAAACCCATTTATAAACGACATGCGATACAACATAAACAAAATTATTGGTGCCGAGACCGAGAACAAAGTGCATCAATTTGAAATGGAAATGCGGATAGAAGTGAATTTTAATATGCAATTAATGTTGCGGACAACTGCAAAGCCAAGTAGCATTTATTTGCATATCAAATCGCTGGCTCGTTCTCGATTCCTCCTACCCCTCCCCTCACACATATATTTCAAAATGCTTGCTTGTTTGTGTGTCCAGGGTGGGAGGGTGTTGGCCAGGCTATTCCATGGCCAAGTGTTAAGCAGTTTGCTGATGCCAGTTTAATGTTGGCATGCAAACAAGCTCGCAGGCTCAACGAAGTATGCAGTAGCACAATTAGCAGGAATCCCAGCAGCAGGATCATGGGGGAACAGCTGCTAGAACGATGACGATGATGATGATGGCGCCAAGTGTTCAAGCTCTGATTGCTGCCCAGTGTGCCCTCACACAGGACATCCTAGCCATTAGAATTTTTAGTATTCATAAAATTGCACTTGAACCCTTGCGAAACGAGGCAGCCATGCATGGCTTTTTATAGGCTCACTTAGCGCACATAAACCGCGAAAAAAATGGCAGTGCCAGGTATCCTGCTCAAGGACCCTCACACACACACCCCTGTACTGGCGCACTTATACGAGCACTTATAGATGCCATAATAATATTGTAACTTTGCACTTCAAATTGCATTTTAATGCAAACACACTTCATTACATTACTACATAAAGAGAAAGGGTATATGCGGAGTGGGGGAAAGCGCAAACTTGCCTGCCGGAAATGGAAAAACGTCGACACACTTTGCTGCAGCTGCAGCCGGAAAAATCCACACATCCACCCACACATCCTCACATGCTGGCATGGCAAGTTTGTAAATTGAAGTGCATGTCGATCGTAGGTAGATGCTTCAATGGCGAAACTGGCACAATGTACCCACACACACAAACACCCACTGCCAAACACTCACATTACGTATACGCAGTGTACTCTCACTTAAAAAGTATATAAAAAAAAAGGGAACGAGACCCTTCACCTTCGGCCCACAGCCTGCATTAGCTAATGTGAGTCACATTTTATTGGCAGACCTTTTTATTGGCTGCACACACTCACACACACACCAGTAAGTTGTTATCCTTGCATAACCCATTCAGCAAACTGATTTGCGAAACTTTCGATCAGGTCCTGAGCAAATGGAATTCTGAGTGGCTCATATTTAATTTAAGGCCGAATGTGTGCCAAACTTTAAACCCAATCCATTCTAGACCACTCACTTTAGAATGTAAATTTAATTAACCCCACTCTGGCATTTATTTCGCATACGTTTTAATTAAAGCTTTCATTTCCCGATTCAATTAAAGTCTGTCGAATATCAAAACAGGACTGTTGGAACAGTGTGAAGCACAAATAACTGAATATTTTTAGATTAGATTTTCATAACCATATATGTGTGTTTATTTTTTTGCTGCAATTTCTCTCGTGTATTGACAAACTATCCACAAATATTTTCACTTTATCGAAAATGGAAATCCATTTGCAGGCCCTGGACACTGCCGTTTGCTGCTGTTTTCTGCTGTGAGGCACCAGCCTGGTTGTAAATAAATTTTAGGCAGATTTATTAACGCCGCTTTAAAAAACATGATTAAGTGCCAGGCACTCCGCCACTTGTCAGTTGCGGTTGTGGGTCGCAGTTGGCAGTTTGGTTAGTTTAATACAATTTCATTTTATTTACAGCCCAGGCTGGCAGAATTTCAAAAAACAAAAAAAAAAAATCCAAATAAAATAAAATCTTTGCTACATTGAACGCGAGCTGAAAGTTAAAATAAAATTAGTGTTGGCCGGCTAAAAGCATTTGGCTTTCTGAAATGTTGTCGATAAAAGCCATGGTACTGGGGCAAGTCAATATATCATAAAAGCACGTCGCATCCAAAAACCTCCAATCTTTTTTGTGTGTTAGTAGTGTAGGATATTTCACAGACAGTGCTTGTGTGTGCTCTACTGTAGCTATGGCTGTGTGTTGTGTAGTCTAGAAACATGAGCGTATACAGTTTCCGATTTCCGCTTTCCTGTTTATCGTTTATTGGGTTTTTGCTACGTAAAAGTAAAAGCACTGCCAGACCAAGACGTCGCCGCGTAAAAAAAAACCAACAAAAAAAATATAAAGAAAAGAAAACAAGAAATCCGAAGAGAAATTTGCACTCGTTAGCTCTTCAGTAAAAGGAGCAGAAACGATGGCAGTGCCATTGCCATCATCGTCATATTGAACTTTGATGCTGGCACGTTTCTCTTGGCTTCTTGTGCCATCCGTATTCTGCTGCCGCTGATGCTGCTGCTGTTCCTGCGTCCTCCTAAGGATCTACACGCGCGGATACTTTGGCACATGTTTCGCCAGGACGCTCTCCCATCTCTCCCATCAGAGCCTGGCCATCTCCTTGGCTCGTCCTTTTGCCAGTTTGGTCGTGTGTTGTTAGTCATTTATATGGGCCACATAAATTATAACAAATATGTACGCAGGCGGCATTCGAAATGATTTCTCACTGTTCGCTCCCAGCGTTATAAATAATCTTTAATTAAAAGAGCCCTCTCGCAGCGGAAGACAGAAATATGTTTTAAAATATTGAGGTGTACGTGCCATCGTGCGGTTGACAAAATGGGTAAATGTGTTGTGATTTGTAGCTGTCTCCTCAAGACACATCTTGAACTTAACACACTCCGCCCTCCATCCCACCATCCATGTTGGGGTTTCGTCCTTAAAGCTGCTGTTACTGCCGTGTCCTGTGGCACACAGGAAGTGTGCATTTAACTTTGCATAATTCGTTTTGATTTAACAGCGTAAATTAACAATTGCAGGCGCATAAATAACGCTCGTTTAAAATCGCCATAAATATTGAAACAAACAAATTAACCCAATAAAATTCGTAAAAATCACATAAATTACATTTGCATGTTTGTTGGTGGTCGATGGTGTTCAGCGGTGGAGTGTGATGGAGTGTGTGTGTGAGTTCGAAAGTGCAATGAATTTGCTTACAAATTTGCCAAACCGAAAATAAAGGCAATTAAATAAATTTCTACCAGAGCAACAGAAACAGAGCTGCAGCAACATCGGCGACAGCAAACTGCAATTACCCAAAAATAGCATGGAATTTCGCTTTATTTTATTTTATTTTGTTTTATTTTGCTTGGCTTTGTTCCACTTTATTTATTGACATGTCAACAAAATTTGCAACTTGGCCACTTTTTTCCCATCTCTCTGTCTGTCTCTTTCTGTAAACCTGCCTCTGTCTCACTCTTTTTGCAGCCATTGCGAAAAAAATTTAAAATTCAATTCATGAATTAATAATAATTAGCGGGCAAGAGAAACGAAATGTTCGCAGTGCTGAGTGAGAAAGATTTTTGAGCAAATTTTTGGGTGCACCAGGATCCAGGCACCAGGAGCTACGTCCTACGTCCTATACCACGTCCTAACACTACCACTCTCGCCTGCCACCCGATCGAGCTGGGCTGGGCCATCATGAGCCACGCCTCCTGCCGCCCGCTTATCCTGCCGCTGTGCCTGCTCGTCCTGTCCACGCTAAATGGTCCTGCCACGGCGGCCAGTCGCGTCCGTGTCAGCTCCTCGACCACGATGACGCGCAACATTGAGGAGGAGAATGGTAAGTGGCTTTAAATAATATTTAAATATATTTTTATAAAATATCATTATAGTATTTAAATTAAAAAGAGAAACAGAAAACTCTGTAGATTTTTATCCTGTGCTTTAAAGTTAATTTAAAACGAAAAGTTTGTCTGCCATTAGACGTGTTCATATACTGTACGTATGTCCTGACATAAGTGTATTTGGCAAAGTGAGTTCATGTGTGGCCCGACTGAGGCAACTTTTATTCAATCAACATAAAGTTTATTGTGTGTAAAGAAATTTCGTTTGCCATGGTGCCTTTGTGAGACGAGGCTGACAAAGCGAGGCTTTTGTCGCTGCATTATTCAATAAATGAAATTTTCGGTTTTATGCGTGCAAATTATGCCAAATTGTTATGGATTTGAAATTGATTTGAAAGCGAGGCCTTTCGCCGCATCCACATCCAGTTTTGTGGCGGTTGAATTATGGTCCGAGTGCGGCCAGCCAGCCGGATGGCTAAAAGTTTCGTCGGGCCAACGCTTTCGTCGGCAAATAATAAAATGTGGCTAATAAATAAGCCCGAAGAGTCGACTGGCTCGAGGGCCTCGAGAGTTCAAGTGCTAAACGAGCGGCTATGAAAGAAGCCACAGAAAAACGAAACAAACTTGCCAAAGTTTTCTGCCATCGAAAACTTTCCGATGGAGATTGGGCCAAGTTTAGGCCTGTCATCGGCAGGGCCACAACTCAGGTCTCGAAATGGTTATCTATTGGCCAGCTCTACTCCGTTTCCATCTCAATTAACCCAAAAACCGATACCAGAGATCACGCATACGCCATGTGGTCAGGGTGCTCACACATGTTACTTAAGGGCCAACCACTTGGCCAAGTCCATGGTCCGTGATCCAAGTCCAAGTCCAAGACAAACAGGCCAGACCATTGCAGTAGGTTACTGACCAAGCCTTGGGGGCTGGTAGTATGCATATTGTTCCACAGTTGCCTGCATGGTTTTGGCCCTTTTTTGATGGCCAAGTTTCCATTAGACGTAAATTGCTTGTGAGGGCATGTGGGCGTCTTCATAAACTCGGATTTTATATGTTTTCAATTGAATTTCGTTGTTGCGCCAGCCATCTCTAGCCAGTCGAAACTTTTCACTTTGGCATTTTAATGTTTTCCAAGTTAACTTTCTTTTTTTCTGGCCACCGCATCCACATCCTCTAGTTTAGTTCCGGCCGCTTGCCGACTTGCCGGCTTGCCTGGCTAAAAGCTGACTAGGAAAAGTATTTATCGCATTTCTGCGAAAACAACCTACTCAACATTTTGGTCTAAAACTTGGAAATTATGTTTGGCTTGCCGCTCCTCGTACTGGCTTGTTCTCCTCCGGCTCAGTGTTCAGAATGTTGTATTCAGTTGTTGGGGCAAAAGTTTGCCAGTTGTTGGCGCAACGCAGCTTTATAAATGCTTATTTAGAGGCATCTATCTGATGAGTTAAGTTTCTGGCCCAAAACACTGCAAAACTTCGATTCAAATGGTTATATACAGTACTTGTATGTAAGCTGGTGTTGGCGAAGTTTTGCCAAAAGGATTTAACGCCTGACTTATAGGATCTATGTCCATGTGGAGTGTTATTTGAACGAGAAACCATTGACTATTAAGTCTTATTTTATTCAAGTTTTCTTTAAGTTATTATTTATTTTTATTATTTTACCCTTTTTTAATTTATTTTATTTTATTTTTTTTGTTACAGCTTTACTTTACTTACTTGCTGGTGAGTTTATCCATCGTCTATTAACTTTATTTGCAAAACATTTACTTTAAGCCATCGTTAAGTTATCAAAACACTACGGGTCTTTAAGCCAGAACAACCCAAACAATTTGGCCATCGGAGTGACCGGGCCAAACCAAAGAGGCGGTGGCAACAGCTGCGGCCACGCCCACAACATGAATACAAACACGAAGGAGCCAACAGTTAAAGGCATCAAAGCAGCTAAAAAATCGGCTTTTTGTGTGTTGCTGGATGTGTGTGTGCTTGGGGATATAGATGGCGAAAGGCAAAGTCAAGATTCAAGAGGGATATCTTCTCCAGGGCACCTACCAGGGGAAAAAGAAGTAAAAGGAAAAATACCGAAACAACTTTCTGTTGGTCAAAAGTCCTTGGTGTGCGTGTAGTTGACCGAAAAAAGCAAAAAAAAAAAAAAAGGAAAACTTTCGCCCCGGAGTCTTAGTGAAAATTCCAGTGCAGCAGAGGAAACCAGCTGACAGCGCGATGAATGACAAGCAGTGTTGGTTCAGTTTGTCAAGAGTTTTCTCTCTGGCTCGCTGTTTTCCTTTTACATTTCTTTCCTTTTCACTCTCTGTCTTTTTTTTTTTGCGATTGGCTTTGACTTGGCCCAGAGTAGCCTACTTGGAGGAGTTCTGGTTCGGCCAGAAAAACACAGCTTGAAAAAAAATCGGGAAAAAAAAATGAAAAGAAGCGACTGTCGCCAGGCGCGTTCTCGGCCCCCAACCAGTCCGGTTTGTTGTGATTTTCGGTTTCTGTGATGTCAGGTCTCCTGTTTCCTGGCCCGCCAAGCCACCGACGACCCTCTGACCCGCCGTTTTTCTTTGGCCGAGACACTCGGCTTGTTTGCCTTTCGGCCACACATAAATGCGTGGCCATACTTCATTCATTTCATGGCTTGGCAAGGACATTTATCATCTGGCCCTCGAGTGCGTCACAAAAAGGCAGTAAAACCCCGCCCCATCTTGTTGATTTCTATATTTTCTTTGTCAGTGTGTGTTTTGGGTGTGTATTCTGGCCAAAATCTCACCCAAAATGTTAAATAGAATTTATTCTTCGTACGTTCCCCGAGCACTTCCCAGGCCGTTATTCATGGCACTTTTTGCCCTCTTATCGCTCGTGTTATTTTTGTATATGAATTTCAGCGGTTACATTGAATACCAAAAAATAAGTACGAAAAGGAAAAGGCCGCCCAAGCCGCCCCAGCAGCCAGGGGAGCCAAAAAGTGGAAAATTTTAAGCCTACTTGAAATTTATTTGCACTCATTATGCCTGACAGTTTGCAGATATCAGAGTCGCGGTGTGAAAGGACCGAGATAAATTCATTTCAAGACACAGGGCCATTAAAGAGTTTGGTTGTCTTGGCCCTCGAACGCCTTGTTTTGGCTTAGGGGTTAAGCTCATTGAACGGGATTGAGTTGGGCTTACACTCCACAAGGCTGACTGGCTGCTCTCTATGCCATTTTCAATAGAATACCAGACTGGGATGGGTCCCAAACCGAGACAGACTCACTAATGAACAAATAAAGCTTAGCTGGCGAAGGAAATAAAACCCCAACCGCATTAATAAATCACACCGAGAAAGCGAGAACAGAACACAAATAATGCAAATGCCTAGCGACAGATTACGGGTTGGCCCGCAGAAATGACAAAACACTTTTTTTTTACCTCCTACCCTGGTATCCTGCCAGCCCCACTACGAGAATCTCCATGTTTGACTTAAGAGATTTTCAACGCAAATTCCACAGGCGGCTGCAGGGAAATGGAATGCCAGCCGCCAGATGAGATTCCCATGTTCGTCACCATTTTTCTCTGGTTTTTCCATATTCTCTGGTCGGATCCATGAATTCTGTATTCCTGGCAAGTTATGTCTGTTCGCAGACCCGTAAAATCAACAAGAAAAATCAAACAACTTCTCTGGCCCAGTCCGGGGGGAAGTTTATTGTCGGCAACTGGCAACTATTATGCCTTGTTAATCGGCTTAGACTGACTCCGTAGTCCGTAGTCCGCAGTCCGTATTCCAAAGTCCTGGTGACGAAGTTGAGGCAAACAAGGTTGCCCAGCCGAAGAAACATGTTGCCATGTGGCCTGCTTGATTGCTCATTTGCCACACGCGCTATAAAGACCACAAGTGCACAGGAATAAAATATCTTTTTATATTTATTTTTATATTAAAAATAATACATTTATTTATGACTTAAGAAACTATAAAAAGGACCTTACCTTGTTCCTTATCCTTGATCGATTTCTTTAGTTCTTTCTTTCATTATTTTTTTCTCTGTGTAAAAACTTAAACATAGAACTTGCCAGGATACCTGTGAGCTTTGTCTTTGCCTGACTGTGTCTGTGTGTTTGTGTGGCCTCTGAAATTTGCGGCGTGCCCTCATTTGGCTGACAGCTTAAGAAGGCCGCCATCGCAGATGGAAATGCCCCAAAATGCGGCATTCTCCCTTGTGGCATCTGAAGGAAGAAAAAATCGTTTTGCGACTATATAGTATGTAGTATGTGTGTGCTCTTTCGTTAGCATTCCGTGTGGAATTTGATACTTGATTATTTGTTGCTGGCCTCAAGCGTGCATAATATATCAAAGTGGCGTCAACGTCAACTCTCCAAATGGGGGGGAACCCGCCTCTAACTCAGGTCCTGGTCGATCCTTTTGGCTCCGACATGTGTAGACATCGTGTGTTGGCAGTTGGGCTGAAATCTTGTTTTTAGTTACAGTTTAGTGTTGGCCGCATAATAAATAAATAAACAGTTGACTCAGACTCCACGAAAACAGGAGTGGCCCACGGGCTCCTGTCAGCTCCTTTCGTGCATGTCCTGTCTCGTTTCGTATGCTAAAGAGCCCCGGCCAAGGATATTTTTCTCTTTAAGATTTTTCCAGCCCAAACCACAAACTCGGCCCAATCTCTGGCGAAATTTGGGGGAAAAAGATTCCAAAGTTTTTCATTCATCTTTGGCAGTTGTTGTCGCTGCCGAGGATTTGCATACTTAAGTTGCCTTTGACTTTATAAACACTTGAATTTTATAAAAATTTATGCCCAAAAACAGAATCATTTAGGAAACAAAATGATGTTTGAATAAATTCTTAAATAAATAAGAGAGTGAGAGTTGGCTTATTTGCTTATAAAATGGTCTGAAATAATTCCAATTGATTACCAAGCTTAAGATTAGTTATTTGTATTAAATATCCAATATCATAAGAAAAGAATAGTAATGCATTTCTATTATTAATTGTTTCATAACTCATTGTAATCTCAGAAATTCCAGACAATTAGTGCTTGTAAATCCCATTCCTGGCTGTAGTAATCATAAATGTTTTGGTCCTGTGCCTATTGCCAAATTTTGTAGAGAATTCTAAAGGAAGACCCAGGAAATGGAGGCCTCCTGCTGGAATGCATATCCTTATGGGCTTAGAGTTCAAAAGCCACGTGATGCAACCGACAAAGCCCCGAAAATGGCAACTGTAACTTGCAATTGCACATGTCAGGCCTAAAGGACTTAGTCTCCAGGCTCCTGCCTCATGGCTCCTGCACAATCACAATCACACTGACACAGACACGCAAATTCATAACAATTTGTCGGCCAAGAATGTAGCCAAAAATCTCATACGCTCTCTACCAATTGTTATACAACATTTAGGGTCATTTGCATACAAAACCTAAATTAAAATTTGACCGAACCGAACCAAGCTTAGATGCATACTCTTGATGTGCCAGACATCCTGCCATCGTGCCATCCTGCCTCCGTGTTCTGGCGCCCCGCTGCCTTTCTCATAGTCGACTGGGTTATTTAATTCACCCATCTTCTCGACAGTTGTTGCACTTTTCTAATTAGACCAGCCAGCATCTGGCCAAGAAGGGAGGGCTAGTGGAGTCATAACAAAAAGTTAATTAAACGTGTAATTGTTGCCGAGGAGAAAAAAAGGAAACCAGCAGCGTTGATTACTCCAGAGTCTAGTTTCAAGATCGAATCGAATATAGAAAAATTAATACCTCTCTCTATTGATTGGATTATAAACCTACTAGTGGTGTGTTCAGGTTAGGATCGGTAGAGGAATTAAAAGCAGAACAGGCTCAACGATCCACATCCTTCTAATGGCACTTACTAACCCCTAGCTCCGAACAACCACTCCAAGGCACAATAAAAATTTTACAATTCAATTTCGCTTTTATTTCGCTGCCGCTGCTGCTGCTTTTTCCGGGCAGATATTATGCTGGTCGGTCGGTGGGTCCACCACCCACTTCATATGCTCTCTTTATTTTATTGCTTCAAATTGTTTGTTGCCATTTCGCATTTGTGCCGCTCGGCTGCCCAGCCCCGACGTTGAAACATTTAACTTTGTGCAACACGACGACAAAAAATCTAAAAAAAAATTAAGCAAAAAAAAAAAATTGTGAAAGAAAACTAGTAAGAGACTGCAGGGAGCATAGAAAATGAAAACATAGCGGAGCAGCAACTAAAACCAACTATACTTAAAAAACAGAAACTAAAACAACGCGGCGACAGCAAAAAAGTTGTCAACTCTCTCCAGTAGCAGTAAAAAAAAAAAAGGAATATAAAGGATAAAAAGCTCTGGAAAAGGGGGAGTGCTATGGCTCCAATTTCTGTTCACTTTGAGTTCCAGTCGAAGTAAAGTCAAGTTACGCGTACCACTTGGAGTCGTGGGACATGGGCCAAGTAGCCCAGAACAGAGGACATGCCAGGGCACTGCATAGTGAATAGAATGTGGTTGGAATGGAGATCAAGAATACCCCTTAAGATCATTACATTTATAAAATTTTTTAAAAATTAAAATGATCAAAAAAATGCTATTTTACGATAAACTGAAGTAACTTAGCAAATACTATTTAGAAAACTCAATCCCCTTTCCTTATAAATGTATAACCTTTTTATAAGATAGTACAGGGTATTAAAAAAGACACCGAACTGTAGAGTAAAGCGCAGAGAAACACCAAAAGCACATTTCAGCTTGAACTCCCACGGCGA